CCGCGCTCTCTGAGGGCGGGCTGCGGGGCCGCGGGTCCCCTGCGTGGGTTAGTGCGAGGGTTAATGCTCAGCCTCTCCCCGCAGGAAAGCTGCGCTACGCCAACAACAGCAACTACAAGAACGATGTGATGATCCGAAAGGAGGTGAGGGCAGCGCGGCTGAGGCGGTTGTGCCAGCGAAAGGCACTGTGGGCAGGGTTAGGGTTGGATGGCGTTGCCGGGGCGCTGTGGGCAGGGCTGTATTCATTTCTCTGCCGGAATGTTGTATCCAGGCTTATGTGCACAAAAGTGTGATGGAAGAGCTGAAGAGAATAATCGACGACAGTGAAATCACAAAAGAAGATGATGCTCTGTGGCCTCCTCCTGACAGAGTGGGCAGACAGGTACGGTGCATAGTGTCTCTTCTAATTGCTCTTTAATTTTCATATGTTAGCTCCTTGGAAGCATAACTAAACTTTTTCTTCAAGCCAGTATTTTTTCCAGCTGAAAGGGAAACAAAACCTGAGTGGTACCTCAATGGCAGTGTAGTTGTGGAACTAATATGATCCACAGACCTGCTGCATTTGATATCTTTGTAATAAAAATTTGTAATAAAAATCATCACAGTACTGAAGTATTTCTGTAACTGGTACCATGAAGCAGTAAGTTCCTATAACCTTTTATTTTTCAGGAACTTGAGATAGTAATTGGTGATGAACACATCTCCTTTACCACGTCAAAAATCGGCTCCCTCATTGATGTAAATCAGTCCAAGTACGTACTCTTCTTTTTTTTATGCTGCCCTTGTTTCTATTTATAAATCTGTATTAGAACTTCCTGATTATTTGGTACATGTGTTTTATATCGTTTCAAAGTGTGAATCAGCTCCTGGGGGCACCAGTGCTCTGTCTTGCAGCACTATGTACCGAATGCCTTTAAGCTGTGCTGTTACAGGCTGTGTTCTCAAACTCAAAGAGGAGACCCTGCTGTAGGAGAACCCTGCTGCAGACATACAGAGTCTGAGCTGCCATTGTGCCAATTTCTTAGGGAGAATCAAGATATCTGTGTTTCACCTAAGCTGAAAAGACTGACAGTTTTGGGGAAGGGGAGGGTAAAATCCTAAGTGCTGTTGATACTTGTTTTCATGATAAAAATGTATATTTTGTAAAAACTTTAAGTGTTCACAGTTGGAGTGCAGAATATTTAATTAATGTGTGTAGAATTAAAGAAATTTAAAAGTCCCCCTATAGGCTTTAGGTTTTTTTAATACATTAGTTCTCTATCCTCTTCTTTAAGAGCATCAGTTTAAATTTTTTTTAATCTTTTAATTTTTTTCACTCTTTCTTCCTTCTTTTGTGAACTGCAGAGATCCAGAAGGCTTGAGAGTATTCTATTACCTGGTCCAGGACCTTAAATGTCTTGTCTTCAGTCTTATTGGACTCCACTTCAAGATTAAGCCAATTTAAGTCACACAAACTGAAGTTTGTATTGCAATGTCAGCAGTAAGGATGGGAAAGGAAGATCCTGTTCCAGTTCATCATTATTTCTGAAATTTTTTTGTACTTTAGATTATTTTTTTGATTGTTATTTTGTTGTTGTTACACAAACTACTGTCAGTGACTCAATAAATGGGTAAGATTTGTGTTTTTAATTTTTAAGCTGTGGTGAGAGACTGACTTCTAATACTTCTTTTATAACGGTGCATTCAGAGTGTGTCACTTCACTTGTACCACCCACACACTGCACTTCTCTACACAGCAGTGGAAAAATGAATGAAGCCTGGCTCTGTGAAACAAAACTTTTGCCAGTTGTCAAGGCAAACTTTTCTTACCATCCTGAGCTGGGTATTTTGTTGGCCAGCCAAGAACAACATCGGACTGCACAGGCAAATGGTTATAGCAGACACACATCACCTTCAGCCCAGCCTGGGGTTACCCACTTGCCTCCAGGGCAGAGACAAACAGGGGACTGAGGAGCCATCCAGGAACTTCACTGACTGTCCCGTTCAGCTTCAGAGAAGCAGAAAAGCAACCTAGAATGTATTTAGTTTAGTTCTAGGCTAGCTCATCTGTTGTGCAGCATTCGTTAAAAGACTTTGAGGGGTCCCCCACAGGCCCTGAGGGCGGACCCCATGGCAGTGCGGCCAAACCGCTCTTTTGCTTTCTCTTAACATGTCTGGTCTGAAAAAAGACGCTGCAAAACAAAACAAAACAAACAAACAAAAAAAAAAAGGATTCATTGATGTGTAATGTTGAAAACTGTCTCTCCCGCTTTTCCTCCCCTCCCCACAAGCACCTCCCACTCCCCGCGCGCGGCCC